TGTCTCGCCACTCCCCAGGTTCTTTTAAGGACCACTCACAGTTCATGTGTTATATTATAAAAGCTAGCTGATGGCAGTTACGTAGTACTGATGGGTAGAAATCAAATGCTCCTGATTTCTGAGAATCTTCAACACTACTGTGAATATGGCTTAACTTCAACACAGGTATGGTATATTCCTCTCTGTTCCAGGCCACCTAAGAATCAAGTATCAGGTTAAAGTCCTTTATTCGCCCCAGAATCCTCTCATGAATCCTATGAGCAACGATGTAGAGAACAAACAGGCAAAAGCAGCATTTTCCATGCCTCTGGCCCATCCTTGGCTGCCCCAATACCGCCACCAGGCAATCAGCAGGATATCCTGAAGAAGGGCAGGCATCACCTTCCATGGGATTTTTCCTTTATTTGTAAAATCGTAGAGATTATGCCATAAGAATCAGCCAGAAGGTCTCAGCTCCACGAGAGCCGCTATTTGAGGTCGGCTCCCAGGGGGAGTGTATCATGTCATATCCCGGCAGAAAGGTTTCCTCTTCTGTAAGCTGCCAACACTGCATTCTTATACCTGTATTTCGAAAACTGTGTCTTTGGATGTGTTGTGTCCGAGAAAAGATTCTCGAGCAAAAGTAGACACAACACAGCTTCCCTGCAAGAGAAAGCAAACAGGCTTTATCACCTAATAAACATGTCTCAACAATCAATACTTATTTGCCCTCTTTTCTGAAGCAACTCTTAAGAGTCACTTGAATTCTATCACTACGGATAATTCTTGAAGAAACTGCATTTCCGCCTCCTAATGATCTTCAAACAAAGCAAGCACCTCGTTTTATTAATAAACTACCAACTGCCCAGAGGAGCTGGTTCAAAGGGGAGTTAAGATATAGCTAAAATTGAGGTCTTAATCATTCCGATGTGAAAGAACTCTACTGTGTTTTCGAACCTCACCAAGCCCGGTCTCCCAACTGCCAGCAGCAAGAACAAACAGATGTCAGGGCTATTTGTTTTCTTCAAAAATGACAGGAAATCAAATATCTATCAGATGGATGTGTCAGCAGCAACACCCCAAGCCCACTGATTAGTGAGATTTATGCACCTCCATTTTGGCTCAGGACAAAATCACTTTCTAAGCTTTTTAACTATCAAACGCCCACTTAGATATACAGGCCAGAGAGATCTAGGAAGCATCTTTAGTGTGAGGTACCCTACACAATGTGGTCACGTTCTATGTGACTTTAAATTATGCAAATTTGAAATGTGGTAGAATATAAAAATATTAAATAATGTCTCCTTAGGCACACGTGTGCAGACCCCATGGAATGTTTTTTTAAAACATTAAGAACTGCAAAATTCCAAAGCTCAAAATTTGAGTACACTGTATACGGCACCTACACTATTGCCACATCCCAGTGCTATCTTATCTGCTAAACAAAATGCCTATATTCCTACCCCATTCATGCACATGCATTGGAACTTTATGAAGCAACTTTAATGATCACTATTGCTGGTATCTTAACTTCCTTGTTGTGATTATTTTAATGCTTTTTTATGCCTTAAAATAATACCATCCAAGTGGTTATGTTGGCGCTAATGCAGAAAAAATAAACTCTTGCACTATTAACTTTGGAAAAGAGGTAAGATGTGATCAAATGCTACATTAAAAAAAGGCCAAACCACCACCACGAGGCCACCTGATGTTAATTTAGGCAAACTCTAATCCCAGGGAGAGACAACTTTTTCTTAAAGGACCAGACAGTAAATATTTTAGGCTTTGTAGGCTGTAAGATCTCTGTCACAGTTCTTCACTTTTCTGTTGTAGCTGGAACATAGCCAGGAACATAGGCGTTTTCTAATAAAACTTTATTTACAAATGGAGGCCACAGGCTAGATTTGGCCCCCAGGTTACAGTTGGCTGACCTCTGCTCTACGGCTATGGAGCTAATCCCCCCCCCCCAACCTTTTCTTTTAATGTAGCATTTTACTGCTCATAAAAGGTAGTTCCCCATCTACAAACATTCTCCCACTTCCAGTAGATATAATTTTGAGAAAATAAAAAGTTCCATTAAAACAGGTGTATTTCAAGCTTGCCAAACTTTGTAAAATCAGTCAAGAAAATGAGCTAAAAGTAATAAGCTGGCAACAGCACTGCAGCAACAGCAATGCCTCAAAATGCTCCACATCATGTTTTTCATGATGCTTACATAACTGTACATATGTGTCAAAACTTACCAAATCCTACATTGAAATTAGTCATTTTAACTGTGCACAGATACCTAAATGAATCTGATTTTGAATAAAGCTTAAAGTCTCAGCAATAGCCCCTAATTTGCAGTAATTGTAGATCCAAGTGGTAAGAGTATACACCTCTTACTTCATATTTGCTCCTGAGAAAACTGGTCATAAATTATGACAGTTCCAACTATGTAAATCCTTCGGGAACTCTGTTGCATTAAATGCACCTGTCCTGCACTAAACTAATAGTTATCCAGACCTCAACTATTTCACTTCAGCGAGGAGGAATTGGTTGCTTTTTAGAAACAATACAGGGTGGCACAGTGGTTAAGAATCCGCCTGCCAATGCAGGGGACACAGGTTCGATACCTGGTCCGGGAAGATCCCACATGCCATGGAGCAACTAAGCCCATGTGCCACAACTACTGAGCCTATGTGCCTCAACTATGGAAGTCTGTGCACCTAGAGCCCGTGCTCCACAACAAGAGAAGCGACAGCAATGGCAATGAGAAGCCCGGCACTGCAACCAAAGTAGAGCCCACTTGCCTCAACTAAAGAAGGCCCATGCACAGCAACGAAGACCCAACACAGTCAAAAATAAATAAAATACAATAAATTTTTTTTAAAAAAGGAAATACAAAGTCCTGAGTTCATGACTTAGCTCTCCACCACAGTAAAAGCAAAACAAAAAAACAAAAACATGGGTCATTTAAGACAGGAGGTAATACTTGTTTAGTTTCCTCTTTCCCATTAGCGACACTTTAAATCACAAACATAATTTCAAATACGAGCTGTTGTTGAATCTCAACTCTTTTCTTTTCAGTCATCTTTGCTCCACTGTGGAGCCTGTCAACATTCAAGCAGGGGGAAGAAAAGAAGAAAAAAAGAAAAAAGGGCAAACAAGCAGAAGCTGAGATGCTAAAATCAGGGGAAGGCCCCACAAAGAAAATCATTCCTCCTCTGATTAATCTAAAGTCGATGGAATACGTGACAACACTTTCAAAACCCCAGCTATTAGCTTTCGCGGGGCTTGCGTTTCATCTGTCTCAAACTCAGAGATGAGAACTTATTTAAAGCAATCGTTCTCAAAGTGTGTTCCACGGATCAGCCTCACCAGCATCACCTGGGAACTGGTTAGAAGCACAAATTCTCAGGCTCCCCTCCCTGCAGACCTAACGAATCAGAAATTCTGAGAGTGGGACTCACCAAGCTGTGTTTACCAAATTCTCCAGATGATTCTGATACTCACTAAAGTTTCCAAATCACTAATTTAAACTCTGAAAACCAACGTACACTTGTAAGTGGAGTTTCCTCGTCCTCTCTTTTAACTTGGAGCTGACTTTAGATCCCACCCTGCAGGATAAGATGGGCTCTGTGCACAAGTAGTAGTGGTGCTTGGTGAGCCTCACAGGAGGCCAGTCTGGAAAAACAGGGGGATATGGCCAAGTTCTCCACAGCTTTTCCACGTACAGAGATGTGGGAGCAGGCCATATTTAGATTCCATGCCAACATTTTTTGAGCACCTGCCATGTTCCGGGCTTGTGCTAAATGAAATTATCTTGCTTAGCCGTTCCAATAATAAATAAATGTATTAGTATGTGTTATGTATACAGAGGCTTGATATTAATCAGAATGGAGTCAAACCTGCAAACAAGCAGAAACCTTTATAATTCTCCAATTCTCATTCACAGGCCTGGCCAGCATGCTTTGAATGCTGAGGTTCTCGTACACAAATATTCCTTTTGCTTCCTCTTTGGTTAACTGTTCTCAAACTTTATTGTATATCAAAATTAGAGACCAAGTTGCTTATACGAAACCATGTATACTCTAGTTTTAAGCCAACATAAGGAAATTTGAGGTAATTCTGAACTACCCACAACAATGTGTGCTCTACTTAAAGGTTTTACCTTCTCTCAGACGTTAAAAATCAAAGTCCAATAAATCTTGTAAGATGCAAATCCACTATACAAATTTATTTTAGGCTTTGAGTCTCTCAGATAATTTTGTTCTGCCCTTTCCACCATGAAGACCATTGTCCTTGAGGCAGACAATAAAAACTTAAGGAATAAAAGAAGGAAGTAATTCCAAAATCCCCCTGCTTATGTTAACCCTACATCACTTGCCCTAAAAGTGCCATGTGCTACAGCACAAGTGCTCTATTCTTCATCCTGTGCCCATGGCAGACATTGCTAATCAATCATAGCACTCTTACCCAGAGCTGGAGAGTTATTCTCAAGGCCTTGGAATCTTTCTCAATAGCATTTCAGGGAGCACCCCTGCCCCCAAATCGGGAGGAGTATTCATGACTGGTAAAATGTCTGTATTTCACTGGCCAATCAACATGTCCCTTTCTTGTTTTCTTTTAAACAGTTGAAGCAGTTTAAAGCTGCTCCAAATACAATTTTAAACCCCTCCTTTCACTGTTCTCAGGACAATAAAATTAAGCTTCAGTTAATTCTGAACTGCAGTCTCTACAAACCTATGCCACTCTGAGGATGCTAATCATGGTGGATTGTGTTAAACAGTTTAAACAATTTGAGTGCAGTTGTAACCCAGAACGTAGTACAAAACTGCTTTGAAAATCAAAGAACCAAGTAAATAAAGGTACAGAACGGATAACAAAAACCTGTGAGGCAGTATCCCATGCATATAACGGGGAAACGTACAGCATGAACAGCCCAGGGAGGCTGATGCATAATACTCAGGCTTATAAGCATGAAGACATGGCTTGAGTAAATAATTCTGATTTTGCTTTTGGTACTCACTGATGATTCTTTATTCAGCTAAGGGGGCACCACACTGTTCCTTTAACAGCATCTCCATTATTCTAATTCCCTATGGAGAGAAGAAAGAAAAATCAAAATGCCACATTTCACAGACAAGCACTTTTACATTTATCACAACCTTTCCCTTCAAGGAATCCAAGCCATGGCCATATATTCTTTTCAGAAAAGGCTCGTAGTCATACTTTACATTTTTATAAAATTCTACTCAGCAATTTCACATACATTATCTTCACATGTGCTCAGAACTACTCAGGGAAGCAGGCAGAGCAGAACTGTGAATCTGCCATTTTAAATATAAGAAAGCCATCCAAGTGATGTTAAGAACTTCCTGAAAGCGGCCCAGTTACTAAGTGGCACTGCTAGAGCTGGAATAATCATGGTAATAGTTAATACTACAATAGTGACATTAAAAAATCAGGGCTTCCCCGGTGGCGCAGGGGTTGAGAGTCCGCCTGCCGATGCAGGGG